AGGGAAAGCTTTTGCGTACTTCTGTGAAAGCCGATCAAGCTTTCCGTTTCAAGGTCGGGTCGTAGCCGCACTAGTCTTGTCCCTATCCGTGCGAAGGCTCAAAGAAAATCACTGTGCACCTTTTCCCGATTGGCTACAGGCAAAAAAAGGATATGCCCCAGGTTCCTATAACCCAGCGCACACAGGCACACACAACAACTAGTGTGAGAAGACTGCGAGCAACTCTTTTCTGTTGGGCCCTTTGTAAGCTCTTTCCCACAGTACGCACTGTCGAGCTTTAGCAGTCCTCCCTGACTTCCGACTTGAGGGAACCTTCCGTTGCCAAAAATTACACTGGCGAAAAGCTGACCTAGCCCACACAGTGAAATATATAATTTTTTTCCATAAAAGAAAGCGAAAATGAAGTATGAATTGCGTCTCAGAAACAACGCTTGCTGCTCGCTTACGGAGTTTAATCGCCCCGTTCTGTCTTTAGGCACGCGTCAATAACCGCACAGCAGTTAATACTGTGGGCAGGCGAACATTAGTTAAAGAGATGGACTGCTGATAAGCTGGTTGCGTATTCGAGCCTTGGAAGGTGCACTACCTGAGAGTGTGTATGACTGACTGATGATGGTTAGTGAACCAGAAATGTTCATTCCAGTTTCCCTTGTCTTTGCCGGCAATGTGCACCATCCTACATAATCAATTCTTCTTTGTATAAAAAGGAATGCTGTCCTGGTGAAGCCTAGATCACCTCGGGTCACGCAGTAAATTCGCTTTGCAAACTGCGGGACAGCAGTATGCAAAGCGGTACTACTGCGTGACCTGAGGTGATCTTAAGTTTCTTTTAAATAATTCTTGGAACTTACAAGTACGTATAAGAACTTCTATTATAAGAATAATCTTGACCAGCTTGCTCGGAGTTTTTCTTTCAACCAAATCAAGAACTGAAGAACAGCTGCTGGTTGTTTTGGTGTCAAATCATTTAGCAGGTAATGGCAATTTCCACAAACCCTTCAGCTGACGGACCGTACAGAGGGAAGCCCAGAAACATACGGAGTAGACCAGTAAAGGCTGTACTAAGTTAAAAGACCCTGCTACAGGAAAGATAACGGTGGCAGCTCTTCGAAGAAAAAGAAGTCTGTCCCAACCCTCGGTTTGTGATATTGCACAACGGGTTCTGTTTTGTACGCTGTCTAGTTGCGCATTACGGACGATTAATTCATCTGGTCTAGAGAGGCACTTATTGTTCTTTTTGCCCGATATGCTCCATCTTTAACATTATGAGGCCTATATGGTGCTCATCCGCTAAAACCCATCAGTAAACTCCGGGGCTGGACCGAGGATATTCTAATCTGCTTAGAACACTGAAGCGGGCGTACTGCTCACTCAGAGGACTATCTGCGCCTTCCCAGGCTACCTGCTCCAATGAAACTTCATCCTCTCTTACCTAATTTAGTCTTCTTTTTACTATACTATCTTTATTTCTTTCGATATGCACTTATTCGGATAGCCGTGCTGAAAAAATGCGTGCCAACGACTAGTTTGAGGAGACGAAAAACGTAGAAGTATCACCTAAACATTCCCTAAAAATAATTGTTTATGTAGTTTTTATCTAATTGTTACGTAGATTTGTACTACATTGAACAACGCTTGTAGCTCTAGCCAACAGAACTTAGCTCAGTTAACCAAAACAACTTGCATACGGGAGGTGTTTAGCACTTCAATTAATGTCCACTTCGTGCGTCCTTAACGATACTTTAAGCTCAGTCTTGTAAACATTTTAAACGAATATTACCAGATGTGAACCGATTAACCGGAGTCCACTGTATATTCTGACTGGAATTTTGTGGTGGTTGTTCCTTCTGACATTAAGTCAAACGCCCTTGGTTGTCAGTGTGTTTACCAGCATTTGCCATTGTGTGTACATGCCATTTTCAAACAGAAATATTGTGTACAATTTACTTAGGATAAATTTTGGATTCCCCATTTTGATTATACGTTTTAGTAACATGGCTTTTAAACCGATTTTCGTTTCTTTTCCGTTGAAGTGTTTTGAGTTAGATGGTAAGATGATTACACAGACTTTACAACTTAAGTGTAGAGGCGGATAGATTCAGGAGTTTTGGACGACAGAAGGAGAATACTGGTTAAACAGCTCAAATAGTCGAAAGCCTTCTATTTACTGCGGTGCAGACAACTGGGTGATCTTCACTATGAAGCTCAGAGTGTGAGCTGATTTGATATTTCAGCGATTAATTATCATTCTGGCTAGGGCCTTGGTTTCGCACTACGATCTTACTGGGTAGACCGAAGCTACTTTCACGTGACTTCACACAGCATCTCTAGCAGAGTCAAGGTAAAGTGGTCGCAATATCTCAAAGGATAGGAACACTTAACCCAGTTCGTCTTAGTGCCCCACTTCGCCTGCGTGGAATTCACTTGCAGGTCAGTATCTGGGCAATGAAGGGAAATAGGACTGAAATATGAATTCTGACTTCCATAGACCGTGATAATCACATTTCTGGTAGGACTGTCTTTCGAGGTCCTATTGCCTTTGAATAATAATAGAAAAACGACTTTTACATTTTAAGTAGCCCGACTTTCCGTTTTTATCGTTAACTTCCGCCAATAAAAGTTCAAGTTTCCATTAATAGGCATCAGTTGCCTGAGCAGCAGGAGTTGATTATACTTAACTCAGTAAAATAATTATAAGTGGCCCTAATTTAATATGCTTTGATCACTTTCAACATAATCAAATATTCATTCACACACGTTAACCAAGAACTAGATTGTTAACCATCAATTCCGTGAGACAGCTGGGCGGGGGAAAAGTTATTTAGGCGGCCATACAAGACGGTTTTGCCAAATTTATTAAGTAGAGATTGTTCCTTGCTATTCGACCACGTCCAGAGTCAGCAACATATGGAGCACCGTGTAAAATACAGTAATGCCCACTTCCACAGTGCAGTCGGAATACGTCAGTGCACATCCCACTCTTATGGTTTCTAATCCATTATGTATAAGACAATTTTTCCAGGACTTGCGCATTTGAGCTTAATGCGATGACTTTTCTTTGTTTTAATAAATTCACACTGCGTCAACGTACTTATTCATATGCCTGAAATGTTTTTAAAATCTAGCCAGCGGTTCTTCGACCCACTTTGCGCTGTAGACTCTTGAATATCTAAGCAGATGATTGAATACGTATTTAAGTAACCTGTTCCATTGAAAGCCCAAGTAAGCTCATGGGCTTTTTATGTTATCACTAGTGTTATAAACACAGCCCTTTATACAGTCGGACTTAAAATTAAAACGAAAGGAAGTTGAACCCGTCAAGATTGACTCACCACATCGCAGGAGCGGAGTCCACTGTAGGTTTGAATCTTTGGCGTTAGGATCGGCACCAAGTTCTATAAGGCGCTGCACGGTGGCACGGTGCTCGCCGTCAACGGCATAGTGAATCGCACTGAGGCCACTGCGGTCGGCGTGGTCGATCCGGGCACCCGCCTCAATCAGGTGGCAAACGCACTCTGTATTCCCCTGAAGTGAAAATTAAAAAGTCCACTGTTGTACGAATTGCCGCGCAGTGGAGAGAAAATACAAACTCAATGATCAAAATATACGTTACGTTCGGCCCTAAATGGTGACCGGAGACGGGATTAATCTGTAACAGGGCCTACCTCTTTTAGCTAAGAGTTTAAACATAGTTTGATTCAGAAAAGGTTACTCTCATTTCAGGGCATCCAACGCAACAGAACTCCTCAACAGATACACAGTCAACTCAGGGGTAAAGTTTGGAGTTAATTATATATCACATGATGCCTTCCAGGCTTATTGAATATGCTGTGAGCAAAGGTGGTGGTGAAGCGGTAATTCTGAAAGGAAATGCAATAACAAGGTATGCATTATTTTGGCGACTGGAGTTACCAAATCCAAATGAAGTTAAGGGCGGGTGAGGGTAAATGAGAAACCAATACTTTTATATAGATGAATATGCAGCACA